CTGGGTCTGGAAATATCTTTTTGGGAGGTTTTAAATTATGAATTCAATTTTCGTAATGGTTATAGGGTTATCAAATTATCTATTTTCATATTGGATGAGTTGTATTAGTTTGTGTTTTTCGAGGAATGGGTCCATTTCGTCTAAGGTGCTATGTTTATGTGTGTAGACTTGTTTGTTCCCTTATGAGGTCTGCAGGGTCTGTACTGATGTCCCCTGTTTCGTTGCTGTTATTGATAATTTGTGACTGGTCTCGCTTTTTCATTGTCAGTCTTGCTAGAGGTTTGCCAATTTTACTGATCTTTTCAGGAAAGCAGCTTTTGTTTTCACTGATTTCTCTATTTTTTAAATTTCAATTTTGTTGATTTCTGCTCTTTATTATTTCCTTCCTTCTAGTTGCCTTGGGTTTATTTCGCTCTCCTTTTCCTAGCTTCTTCATGTGGGAATTTAGATGATTGATTTGAGACTTTTTCTAATGTAAGTATTTAGTGCTAAAAGTTTCACTCAGTGCAGCTTTAACTGTGCCCCACAAATTTTGATATGCTGTATTTTCATTTTCACTCAGTTCAGTGTATTTTTTCCCTTGGATTCTCTTTGACCTGTGGCTTGTTTAGAAGTGTTTAAGTTCCAAGTGTTTGGAGACTTTTCTTGTTATATTTATGTTACTGATTTCTAGTTTGACTCCACTGATTGGAGAACATACTCTGAATGATTTTGACCCTTTTCATGTTGCTGAGTTTTATTTATGTTCCAGGATATGGTCCACTTTAATTGGATGAAGATGCACATGTTTAGGAGGGTAATTGCGATGATGGCAATGTAGAAACTTCTGTCAGTTTCTGCTTCTCACATTTGCAGCCCTGTTGCTTGGTGTGTATATATTTAGGATTGCTATATCTTCTTGGCAGATTTACCCTTTTATCATTATGTTATGTCCTGTCCCTGGTAATTTTGTTTGTTATGAATACTAATTTATCTGCTATTATGATAACCACCGCTACTTGTCTTTAATTAATGATATATCTTTTTTTATCCTTTTACTTCAACTTGAAAGCTGGAGTGAGTTTCTTATAAACAGCATATGGTTGGGTCATGCATTTTTAATCCGCTCAATCGATGTTTGTCTTCATCGGTATATTTAGCCCATTTATATTTAATGTAATTATTGATTTGTTAAGACTTAAACTCCTATTATATCTTTTTGTTCTATTCTATTTTTTTGTCTGTGTTCTTTTTCCTGCATTCCTTTAGGTTATGTTCACCGTTTTTTACAAATGCATTTTGATTCATCTGTATTGTTTTTGAGTGTATCTCTTGATAGCCTTTTTAGTAGCTGGTATAGATAGTACATACATTATATATATATATAAAACTATCGCAGTTTACTGGTGTTATCATTTTACCATTTTGAGTGGGGTATAGAAACCTTACCTCCTTTTATGGTTTTCCCCGTTTATTATAATTATTTTAAATATTTCCTCTACGTATATTTAGAAGCACATCAGACAGTGTTATCATGTTTGCTTCAACTGTCAAACATAATTTAGAAAGCTCCGAAGAAGGAAAGCTTATCATATTTACTCACACCTTTACTTTTCATGCTCTTTTTCCGTCTTGGTGTTCCAAGTTTCTTCTATCATCACCTTTCTATTTAGAGAAGTTCATATAGCAATTCTTTTGGGATAGGTCTGCTGGCAAAGTATGCTCTCATTTGCATTTATCTGAGAATGTCTTCATTTCCCTGTCATTCCTGAACAGTGTTTTCACGAGGTATCCGGATTGGTAGACTTTCAGGATTCTGGATTGACAGCTTTTTCTTTCAGAACTTTCATGTGGCCTCTGTGGTTTCTGATGAGAAATCCTCTGTCATTTGAATTATGTTCCCCTCATAGGTAAGGTGTCATTTCTCTGGCTACTGTTAACATTTTCCTCTTTGCATATGGTCTTAAGAAGTACAATTATCATGTGCCTTGGAGGAGGTTTGGGTTTATCGCACTTGGGGTGCTCAGCTTCTGGAATCTTTAGGTTTATGTCTCTTGCCAAAACTGAGAAATTTTCAGCCATCATTTTTTTGAGTACCTTTTCAGCCCTGCTTTCTTTCTCCTCTCCTTCTGGGATTCTGATGACATGAAAGTTAGATCTTTTGTTATAGCCCCACAACCCAGAGGCTCTGTCCCTTTTTTTTTTTCAGACTATCTTCTCTCTATTGTTGAAATTGGGTGATTTCTGTTGTTCTCTCTTCCAGGTCACTGATTCTTCTCTCTGTCCCCTCCATCCTTCTATTAAGTGTGTGCAGTGAGCTGTTTATTTTGGTTATTGTATTTTTAAATTATAACATTTTCACTTTTTTTTTAATATTTGTGTCTTTATTGAGGCTTTTCCCGTTGTTTCATTTGTCTCCAGCTCACGAATGTTCACTTAAGTGTTTCTGTCACGGCTGCCTTATAGTCTTTGTGAGATAAGGCTGACATCTCAGGTTTGGTGTGTGCTGACTTTTCCTTCAGTTTGAGGTTTTCTTGGTTTTGGTAAGAGTGGTTTTCTGTTGAAACCTGGGCATTTTTGTATTATGTTATGAGTCTCCGGATCTCATTTAAACTTGTGTTTTAACTGGCTTTTTCTGGCTCTGCTCTGCTGGGGTAGGGGCTCTGTTACTGGCAATGGAGGTCGAAGGCCAGGGTCCCCACCAGGTCTCTGCTGGCACCTGAGGGAGGGTTCTTGTCCTCGCTGCTGGGCAGCAGGTAGGTGGGAGTCTGAACTCCCCACACGGTCTCCACTGGCACGCCAGGGGGTGGTTACCACCCAGTGGGGAGGGAAGTCCCCCTCCCCACTTGGCTGCTCTGATGACGCTGGCAGAGTCACTCTGGCCTCACAAAGGAGGACGCCCAGGCTCCCTGTCGGCCTTTGCGGTGTTTGGTGGGAGTGGAGCTGTACTGTCTGCAACGTGCTGAGTCACTTCTTCCCGGGCCCTCCAACTGGAGAGAGGTAACTGCAGCTGGGCCTCATTGGCACCAGCGTCGGTGGCTGGTTCAGTTCCAAGTCTGAGATCACAGTCCAAGGGAAGCCCAGGGGGCCCAGCACCTGTTTCTTGGGTCCCTGGGTCCCTAGCCAGTCTCTTTCCACACTGCACAGCCTTCCACACGCATAGTTTCCAGGGATTGGCTGTACCTGGTGGGAACAGTGTCTTCTCGTCTTCCAGGCCCGGACCCCCTCTCCCCAGGGCTTTACCTCCTCTGACTGGCCTTGGAGAGAACTTCAGGGAGGACGTCTAGGCTCCCGGACCTACACATTCCTTGTTTTTCTATCCAAGTGCCCAGTTCCTGCCTGCTCCCAGGAAAGCTGAGAGATCTGGGCTGGGGCTCAGGTTCCCCTCACGGCCCGTGCAGACCACCTCGATCAGGTGCACCTGTTGCAGCTGAGGCCTCCTCACAGGCCTCAGAGTCGGCACAGCTTAGACTTCTGTGCTCTTTAGATGAAAATATTACTGAAGTTCTGTTATTTAAATCGTAAAAATGATTTTTTTTCACAGAAAGTTCTTTTTGCGCTCGTGATTTTTTCTGTTTCCTGGTGGATGTTGACGTGAAGACCGTCCCTTAGGGAATGGTGTGGTTAAACCACGCCCGTTTTCTGAGCCAGCAGTGCTAGATGTTATGCTACTGTTGCAGATGTGCTTCCCATTGTGAATACTCCTGGGAATGGACCGATAATAGCCGCACAAACACATTTCACGTGGGGCGTTTTCTAGTTGCTGTTGGCAGATGGAACAAACTTGCTTATTAAGCACATTGAGTCCTGAAGTTAGGGTAGCGGTGCCAGTGGGGCCGGGTCTCCCTGCACGGCCCGCTCTCGAAACGTCACGTCGCAAACTGAGCCGCTTGCTGGTTGCTGTGGATGGAGCGGCGGGGCGGGGGCGGGGGGGCGAACTTCCCCACAGCTCCCACTTTGGATAATGCCATCGAACCTTCTGAGATTCAGAACTATTCCAACTGCTTGAATCTTGCCGCTTGTAAATTTTAAAAAAAGTTAGATTTGCATTTGAAAACATATTCCAGTGTGTTCATGAAGGCAGCTTATGTGTAAGAGCCGTGCTTTTCATTCCACCCAGAATATGTGTTCTCAGTGAGTTCTGGACCTTCTGGTACCACACTCACACACACACACACAAACAAGCACAGCGGTCCTGATGTGAAGATTTTGGTAATGTGTTTTCGTACAAGGCATAAAAATATATCTCTGTAATTACATGATATTTAGTGATTAGATAATTACGGATAATTGCATGGGGTAGTTCTAAGTGCTAAAGTGTTACCATAAGATCTAAAATGTACAAATTGCATAATAATTATTCTTAGGGGTTATTTGGTAATTCTGAGCATAATTATCATGTGATCTGCAGTGCATGTAATTAATGCATAATCACATGGATTTTGCCTTCATAAGTACTTCGCCCTTGTTATAAAGCTCTTTGTCATAACATTTGAGTATAAATATAATGTAATTGGCTCCCAGATACAGTACATTAAGCCCCGTGATAATTGCTTTCACAGTAACAATAGCCCTTATTTCACTTCAAACGCGTGGCTCTTAAGCAGGGCGGGGTCGCAAAGAACAAGTCGCCAGGGCGTGGAGGCAGAGTGGCGCTGAGTGGCGGCCACTAGGCGGCTTCTGGGTTAGGAATGTCTTTGCTGTGACCAGACCTTTCCAGGTAGAAGAGTGTGCATCTTTGACTTGGAGCCTCTCTTCTAACGGCGGCGCGCGCCCCTGCCCTGCAGCAGCCGGCCCCTGCATACAGCAAAGCACCCACCGCATTTCAGGTGGAGGGGCCGCAGAGGGCTGGAATTTCTGTAAGGAGAAGATCTCGTAATAAACTGCAGTGAGCGGGACCTTGCCCGATGGATGACATTGTGGGAGAACACCTGGAACAGCAGCGGTTACTCAGAGACGGAAACGGGAGCTCTGGCTCGACTTCCATGTCGTTAACGCAGTTCCTGCAACTCTCCCCGCAGGTCTCACGTGGCAGGATGGCTACACCCAGCACGTGATGGCGCGGGAGCTCGCCAGCCTTCCCCAGACCTCCCCGCGACGCCCAGAGGCCTCCGGCGCCGCCAGGTAAAGCGGGCTCGGTGTACGGCGCTTCGCCGGCAGCCCTTTTCCTTGTTTCACGCGGCAAAGGGCCCTGTCTTTCTGTGTAGACGTTCCAGGAGGCTGGAACGTGTGTGACGGAGCAGCAGGGACTCCCCCCACGGGCTGCTGGCCCTGCCCCGGGTAAGGTTGTAGGAGCGACCCGCCCACAAGGGGCCGTCCTCACCAGCAGATGTGCCCCAAGGTCCTCCCCACCTTCCTGAGACCCTCGGAAGCTCTGCATCTTCAGAGCCTTGGTGGAAAGCAGAGGAGTCAGTAATTCTCACTTCCCAGTAAGAATTTATGTCCACTTCAGTACAAAAAGCAAATTAAACCGTGAAAGGCGTGCCGTTCCCCAAGCACGGCAGCCCGTGTGAGCTGGTTACATTCCATCTCGTCCTCTCTGCACACGTGCGGAGGTGCAGACGCCTTGCCCACTCGTGCGGGGGGACACAGACCCCGGCAGCTGAGGACTCGGCCCACAGACAGAGCGCCGGGCGCGGGCCGCCTCGACCCCGAGCCGGCGTTTATACAGCAGGGAGACAACCTTCCCCCCAGGCTTCGCTTGGAAGTCCACTCTTCCCTCAGAGAGTGAGTTTTCTCTGTCCGTAGCCTCAGTTAAAATAATCTCAGTGACAGAAATGTCAGCCGTCTGCCTTCCTGCCCGTGCTGCCCGAGGAAGCTGCTGGGCCACCAGGTCCTGCAGGATTACACGCACCAAACGTGAAAGCATGTTCACCGTGGCGGCTCTCACTGGCCAGACCGTGAGTTTCTTGAGGGTCGGAGCTGGTCTTTCTTGCTGGTATACTGAGCTTTAACAAGGAGAGTGTGCCACTGTAGTCTGTTCTGTAAAAACAAAACACAAAAACCAAAGTCAAGCTGTCCTGAATTTCCATTTTCATCTGGGTGAGTTCAGACTCGTCACGCTGGTCTTTCAATGCCATCTGGGCATGTCAGCACCGCCCGCCGCTCCTTCCCTCCTGGGAAGATGTACCTGAGTGGAGTGCACTGTCCCAGACAGCCCTGACCTCCACTGAGGAGGCCAGAGGGCAGAGGGATAGGAGAATTGGGCAGACGGAGCAGGAACAACTCTTTACATAGTCTAGACAGTCAGCAAGTACGGCGGAAAGGCCAGACTGTCGTCAGGGAAAGAGCACTTCCAGAGAGAACAGCCCTGAGAAATCAGACACGGTGAGACCACGGACAGACACCTGGGTCACCACGTTCTTACCAGCGTTAATATTGTCATTTAAAATAATTGTCCATTCATTATGAAAAATGGTTACTTCACTGTTTTAGATTACAAGTGAGATTAAAAGTTTACAAGTACACATATGTAGGGATTGGAATTCTCTGTATGGATTTCCTGTGCGTGACCTTTGTCCACATACAAAGTATTTTTTGTATTTTTCTGCTTGGTTTCTTTCCGCATAGTCTTGTTATTTAAGGCTAGTAACTCTTCACGTGCCATATTTTATAGAAGTAGCTTTCCGGTCTGTTCCGTAGATGGCATGAGATACAGTTGCCAGCGGAAAGGGAGCTCATAGCCCTCTCGAGGTGGGAGTTCTAATTTCTTCCTTGAGGGTGTTAATTCCCTCCCCCCTCGCCCGCTCTGCCCCGGAGAGATGGGCTTCCTGGGCGGCACCAGCAGGTCCTTGGCCTTGGGCTGGGTGGGTTTGGCCGAGGTGCACCCCTGGCTGGGAGGGCGGGAAGGCATCGCACCCAGGGCTCTGCCAAGGTCATGGCTGCTTGGACCCCCGCTGTGACCCATTAGCTCCTCCCTCCCATAGACCCAGCCCTTCTCCACCGTCAGCCTGTCGGTTCTCTTGGTCCTGCTCTGTCTTTGCGAACAGTTCCTTTATGAAACTGCTGGACGTCCCGTTTGGAGATGCCGTGTGTCCTATGGGGCCTCTGCCTGGTGACAGGAATCCTGGTCACCCACCCTCTTCTTCCTCAGCTTTTGTCAAGGTTACAGGATTGTCATGATACACACGTAATAGTTTTCCTTCTTTTCAAAAACCTTCTGCAAAACTTTCTTCAGTGTTGAAATTGTCTGCTGCCTGGTATATATTTTTAAATGATCTTTCTTTGTAGGTAAATCTCATAACACTTTATTGTCTTCTGAGATTATTGGTGAAATATGCTCACAGATTTTACATTTTTGCAGAGAACTATTATCCTTTTCATAGGGATTTCCAAATTTGTTAACTTAGTGTGAGTCACAGTACTGTGTTATAATTTAAAAAATCATTCACCATGTGTGTAATTATCACACCTTTGCCATTGATTTTTCTCTTTACCCTTTTAACACAATTTTTAACAATAATGATCTCTTGGACTTTTCTCTTTCTACCATTCTTAGATTTATTGTTTTTATGAAACTTCTTGGACTGAAAGTTTTGTTCTTAATTTTATTTATTCATTGTTAAAAGGCAGTGAAATCACTTAAGGCTATGCATTCGCCTGTGAGCTTGGCTTTGGCATCATCCTGTAATGTTGATGGGCTCATTTGCTTTTGTTCTAAATTATCTGTAATTGTAATTTTATATCCTTTGGGAGCAGTAAGTGTAGGCTCTTTCCTTTGTTCATATTTATGTGCTCTTGTCTTTAGACTTTAAATCAGTGTCTAGTTTTATTACATTTTAGTTAGAGAATGTGACATGTTCAGTTTTTACTTTTTAGAAATTTGGGGTTCTCTTTGTGGCCTAGTTTATACCACACTTTTATTAATTTTCAATGGATACTTCAAAAAACTATTGTATCAGGCTTCCCTGGTGGCACAGTGGTTGAGAGTCCGCCTGCCGATGCGGGGGACACAGGTTCATGCCCCGGTCCGGGAAGATCCCACATGCTGCGGAGCGGCTGGGCCCGTGAGCCATGGCTGCTGAGCCTGCGCGTCCAGAGCCTGTGCTCCGCCACGGGAGAGGCTGCAACCCTGAGAGGCCCGCGTAAAAAAAAAAAACAAAAAACAAAAACAAACTATTGTATCCACTATTTACAGTGTACGGATTTTTATATATAGTTTATAATCATATATAAAATTTATAATTACGTATAAATATAAATTATATTACTCAAAATCAAATATCCTTATTTATATTTTTATTTATTGAAATTTCTCAGACAGAAACTATTTCCATAAATTTTCCTTCCATTTTTAGCATACTTTGCTTTACGTACTTTGGGTTCTGACGTTCGGCCCATACGCACTCGCAGCGTTTCTCCTTCACGGCGGATCATCACACCTGCTGCCGTTTTTAAGTGGAGACTGCATCATCTTTAGTGCTTTTCGTCTTGATCCCACTTTTCTAAAATCGGTATTACATTCCTGTGTTGTCTCTGTTTTGCCGTCTAAGTAATCCTTTAAAATTCTGCCCTTTGGAGCCTCTTACGTTGCATGCAGCGTTTATAAATGACGTCAGGTGGCATTTTTTACAGCCCCTCTGGCCAGAGGCCCCTGATCTCTCTGCTTCTTTCTTTCCCTCTCTGGCCTGTGACTGGTCTACTTTCAGCATCTTCAGTGTTTGTAACTATGTATCTTACTTCAGATTCAGTCCGTGGCCATCACCTTTAGGCTTTCCAGGCAGTTTTTGAAGCGACAGGTCTGAGTCACTATTAATGGAGGAATCCCACCTTCGGACCCCCCACCCCCTTCCCAGCGCATCCCTGGCGCCTGGCACATGCCGCGTACAGGTGGGTGTCCAGCCCAGAGCTGTTGACTAAAGAAGGAAGGAAGGCATGAAGGGTCTTGTGACACTTTTGTTTATTACGTGGGTAACCACACCGACCAAGAATCCTGCCTGACCTTCATTCCACAGGGAACTTCCAGAGCTTTCTGTACCCTGTAGATGTGTGAATATCCACAGTCAGCAATCTAGTGACAGGACAGGTGACCTGAAAAGAGATGAAGGAACTGGCCCCAAACCAGTGACACATTCAGGAGGTAGCAGTAAGCTCAGAGTGTGGTGTCAGGACACCCAGCCCCAGTCTTGGGGGGAGCAGAGCAAGCCTGCCTGAGAGCCTGGAAGAGGCAAAGCCGTGTCGTGGATGCTGCGTGAGGGACAGACGCCGGGAGCCTGGGGACACCCTCTGCTGAGGCCCCTGATGGCCAGAACAGATGGGGGTGGGGTGGGCAGCAATGTTATGGAGGACTAGACTGAGCCGTGAATTCTGTTTACGTGAAAAATAAAATGGCACCGAAATGATCATTAGACAAGGTTGGGATTATGGACAAAGGAGTGAGGACCAGGTCACTGTGTGCTCTTTGCAAAGATTCTGTTTATAATTCGGATTTTTTTTTTCCTGAGCACATTGAGTGACAGCTTAAAGCATCCCATGTTATTGGAGCCTGCAGGTCAGTGCAAGGAAGTGGGAAAGGGACCAGTGGAGACCGGCGTGCAGGGACTACATTCTTCGTCTTTTGAGGGAGAAAATGTACACTTAGAAAGTTTTGACTTACTTCAAGCCGAACGACAGGGCCAAAGTCAGTCTGAGAGCTAACTGCTACAGTGTCGCACACCCAGAGATGGACGCGCTCTTCGCTGCTGTGACATATTACAGTGTCACAAACAGTCCTCCAGCAGCGGACACGCAGGAAAGATGAATAAGACAATTTCAAGACACATTTATGAGGTGGTTCTATCTGCATTGATTAGCAATTAGTGAGAACAATAGATAAAGTACCAGAAAAGTAAATCGACTTCAGTTAAATTACACCCAGAACATGAAATTTCATCCATTAAAAACTGGTCAAGGAAGCCGTAGCCGTGATTGAGGTGCAAAGAACCGTGCAGCCCCTGATCATTTATATGCCTATCAATTCTAAGCCAGTGTTAACTTGAAAAGGGCATCAGAAATAAAAACAGGACAGTTTTATCAATCGCAATAATTAAACACAAATGTGAAGATTTTCTGTAAGTCCCAGCTTCTATGAAACACGTACAGATATCAAACCCCTAACATTCTTGAAAATGAGACTTTCTACATGGAAACACTAGCCGGGAGCCTGTTCTCCGTTACTCCAAGTGGGAAATCTACAATGAGGTACACACCCGCCTAAAACCCCAGTACATTCCCTAAATCACAGTAAAGACCCACATGTAAGGAACAGATTGTCATGTTTGGATATAAAATACTTGAAACATTGTTTCCTGGTCCCTGAAAGTGGATATGGTTGTTAGCAAACAGGCACTTTATTTGTAGTAACACAGCCTCACCCAACATCTGCAACACACATAGGCACACACAGATACACACGGACACACACACACACGACACACACACACAGATAAATACATATACACACCCAGGCACATACAGACACACACAGACACATACACAGACATGCAGACATGCACGGACACACACAGAGACGCACACAGACGTACCCTCATAGACACGCGTGCAGGCATGCATGCGTGGTGACCCCACCCTCGGTCACTGCAGATGCCTCGTTGCCATCAGGATGGAGGTCACTTCCGTTACAGAGCACCGTTCTCACTGTTGGACTGCGGCAGAGTGCCCGGATCAGCCTGGGAGACAGGATGCCGTCCTGGACCTGAAGAGGCCACAGACGTCCCGTCCCCATGAGGAGTGGGTGTGGCCGGGGCCGCTGACTCTATAGATCCCCGACTGGGAAGAAGCCCGGTTTCATTTGTCTGGTTTCTGGGCGCAACCAGAGCTGGCCTCGCCACATGACCCAGTGATGCGCCAGGGCTCGGTCCCCTCAGCTGGACAATGGGGCGATGATTCTTCATCCTCAGGTTGTCGTCTGAGACGACACCAGGCCGGCGGGGCAGCAGACCTAAGCCCATCGGGATCCTGACCTGGGGCACCCAGGGAGCTTGTCTCGCTTGGGTCCTGAGCTGCGCAGGACACGGGCTCCGGTGTGCAGTGGAGTAGAGGCCGGGCAGCCGTAGTAACAGAGGTTCCGGAGCCCTGAGGCTCCCGGGCCTGGGGCTGGCGCACATCTTCTGAGGTGACCTGGGCAGGCCGGGTGGCCCCCTCCGGGCATAGGCCGTGGGCTGTATTCTAGCTACAGCGAGAGGCAGCGGCCGAACAGCGAGCCAGCCCTGCTGTGCTGGACGCGGCCCTGATTTCAGCTCCCAGGCTGTGGGTAGCCGCAGGCTGCACGCGTCCTGTGTCCCTCTGCCCGCACTTACGGCCTTTCCATCCCCACCTACCCCACCCCATCCAGGCCAGGAAGCCGCAGGACGTCCACTTCTGCACGTAAGAACACCTCCTTTTCTACAATTAGCATGGCTTTTATCACATTTGGTACATTTGTAAATAAAAGTGAAGATCAAAAGCTATGTCTCTCCAAATACAAAGTCAGAGAAAAGGTGGGAATAAATGAAGAAAACAGCGAATGCGTCCTTGTCCTTCCCACGTGCTGAAACCACACATCAACGGCGTGTAAGCTCTTCCTCTTCTGGTGGTCTGGGATATTCTTGTTCACATCTAGGGCACTCACGGCGGTTAATAGAAAATAGAACAAACTTAAAGCCCCATATTTACTTACATGAAGATTAAATGGGTTTAGTAGGTGAGGAAACCCCACGTACATTGTATGTAGACATCAGGGAGCACTGTGTGCAGTTATTTATGATTCACAAGTCACCGCATGTTTACTGAGCCCCGGCACAGAGCACAGCTTGAGGTCGTGTGTAGTCCAGCACTTTCCCCACAGACAGTGTCTGTGGTTGTCAAAGAGTTCGACAGGGACTGAGTACTGTGTTTTATATAATTTAAAAAGTGCATTTTCTTAAAAGAAAAAGAAAACAAGACATGCTTTTTCCAAGTAAGTCCATAATCTGCATCACTGCCATTCACCACAATAATCAGTTTGTTTTCCGAAGTTCACTCCCAGTGATAAACGATCTTAGTCACAGAGACGCTTTTCCTAACGCTGGAAGAATGCCATCTGAGAGGCCAGCGGTGGGAAAGGCTACAGCTGTGAAGCTGACTCGGCGTCACCCCAGAGCCTGCCAGGTGTTTCCAGGCTTGTTCTTTCAGTGGACGCTGTTCTCAGTGCCGACGGTGACTCGGTCTCCATGCAGATTCTGGGCAGAGAATGAACAAGAGAAACCCCCAAGAACAAGGTCCCTTCTTCCAAGCAGCCTCTCGGGATCGCTTCCTGCCTTTTGCGGTCCTCGCGCCCCGTCCTTCACAGCTGGAGGTCTTTCTCATGACATCACTCTGACACCAGCCCTCTATCCCCTCTTCCTCTTCTAAGGACCTTGTGGTCACACTGGGGTACCGGGAGGGCCCCCCACCTTAGGGTCAGCTGAGTAGCAAGCTGATGCCCCCCGCTCTGCCCGCCGCCGCGCCATGCCATGGAACCCCATGCGGTCACAGCTTCCGGGAGTCGGGATGTGCCGTCGTGAGCACGACCCCCTCACGCAGTGCGCCCCTACCCCATTCCTCTGCACATGGGGGGCGCTGGCTGAGATGGTGGGGTCCCAGAGCCAGTGGATGGTAGGAGCAGGGCTCTCCAGTTGCCCCTCCCCACACTGAGGAAACCTCTCTGCCACTCAGGTTCTTGCTGGGCTTGAGTAAGGCCAGCTGCTCCCCACATTCTAGTTTGTCTCCTGTCCCCGGTGGTCGGGGACGCTTCTTGAGAACATACTCTAGGGCTGACCCTCTTCTCAGGGTCACTCACCAAGTCCGCACAGTGTCCAGCCGCCAGGCTCAGGGGGGCGCATGAAAGTTTCCAGCCGCAGTTGGTGAGAGCAGCGGGGGCCGGGCTCTCACCACCTGGCCTGACGCCCGGGTCCCCACGTGGTCCCTGCGGCCACCCTCCCTCGCCGTGGCAGCGTCTGTCAGTGGAATCAACGCCATGCCCCATGGACTGGCTCACGCTTTCCTTTTGCTTTGCAGGAGCTCAAAGCAGAGTGTCCAGGACAAGCGGAGCCTCAGCCTGGAGGGCGACGTGCTGGCCGAGGCCCTTCAGCGCTACCTGCCCTACCTGGAGGCCCTGTCCCAGGCCGCCGTCCCTGATGTGCTCCCCGGGCTGAAGCCGGACAGGCCGCCGGCCCAGGTGATCCTCAGAGCCCCTCTCTGGTCTGGGGTGTGTCTGCCGCTGCTGGGGGCTTCCTCCGGGCACACACAGGGAACGTTTCCTATGGCTGTGGCATCACTGGGCTTTTCTCCTGTGTCTCGGGCTAGCGGGGGGCGGGGGGAGCTGGGGAGAGACAGGGTGCGTCTCCACCCTTTCGGGAGGACCTGCGCTTACCACCTGGACCCGGGACCCGGCTGCGGGGTCCACTGTGAGGCAGGACAGCAGGAAGTCGGTGGGCACAGGGTGAGCAGCCATCCTGGTTGCCCGAGACTGTCCTGGTGTCGGCACTGAGGTCCTGTGTCCCAGGGCGGCTCTCCTTACGCAGCCTGCCCTCGGGGCGCCCCGTGTGCGGCAGCTGTCAGGTCCTCAGTGCAGGTTCATTCTGTACCAAGGCCAGTCTGCTCTAGAGCCATCCAGGACTCGAACGAAGCCCATTGAAAAGAACAGTTTATAGAAACGATGAGAAATCTCATAACTTTCTAGATGGGAAAGTACGCATGATTTTATGACAACCGGTTAAACCAGAGTTGCCAGCTTTTGACTAGCCTAGAAGAGACGGGTCTAGAAGTGGTGTCCAGGGCCAGAGGCCCTCATGCACCTTGAGGGTGGACTTGGGGAGAGCATGGAAGTCCGGGTGCTCTGGGCACGTGGGGTGTTCGGCAGCCACATTCACGCTTCTTTCTGTGGAAGGTTATTTCCGCCGATGGAATTTGACCATTTTAAGCCTGATGCCGTGCTGGAAGATGGATGAAAGCCCGGGACGCTTAGCTCCTCTCACACCCCCCAGATTCATCCCAAGGCGGCCGGCCCTGGGACACCGGGGGAGCGATTTGGGCCACGCCTTCACTCGCTCTCCTGTCACTTCAGCCAGCTCTGGGCTGGATGGTGGGTGGCACACACGTGGTGGCCGTGCGGGGTGGCTGAGCTCGGTTAGCTCCCTGGACCAAGAGTGGCCTGAAGCCAGCTGGAGGGGCCTGAGTGGGCCCCTGACTCCGCCACGCTCGCCTGCTGTCCGCGCCCGCGAGACGCGGGAATTAGGAATGAGCTGCAGCGACTGTAGGGACTTGTGGATGGCGGGGTCTTTGAGCCTCCGGGAGGTGCAGTGGTGACGCAGGTGAGCCGCCGACACGGCTCCGGGGGCAGATGTGCTGCTCTTCCGGCTGCGCTCGGGCCCTCACACGGACCCAGGGAGCTTAGCGCAGAGCCCTTCCAGCCCTGACTCGTGCACACGGTGGGCCCAGCCCTGCGCGTGTTCTCCAGGCGCCTTCCCCACTGGAGGAGAAAGGTGACTGCTGTCTTTGCCAGGACCGTGCATTCCTCCCGGAGCTGTACCCTCGGCACTGGGCTGCCTCGGACAGGAGTGATCACATCCCGACCTGCCCTCCCTTCTAGGAAACATTGATGGGGAAACAAAATGGCTGTCCCTGGTCTTGTCCAGCGTTCCGTCAGCAACGGCCACCGCCCATCAAGTTTGCCCTCCGTAATCTTTAAAACTCCCACCCGGTGGAATGACCACACCTCGTGGTCCGGCTGGACCGTGCCGGTTTGTGCCTGCTGCCCCGTCAAAATTACCAGCAAGCCCCTTTTCCCTCTCAGAAATGTCCAGTTTGAATGATGAATCCTGTGGTCACCTCACCACACGGCTGTTTCAGCGTGACAGTCACAGGATTATTCGAGAATGAGCACCTGGTGGCACTTTGGCTTAGGTGTTTTTATCCTGTGTTAAGAGGGATGCTTCTCAATATTTAAAAATGCATGAAAACCTGGAACTCATTATTTTCTCTGTCCAGGGTTTAAATGAGGAGAAGGCTCTTCATCATCCCTGTAATAGACTGAGACAGGATAAGGTCCAAGGAGCTCTTCGGGCAGACTTTTGCCCGGGATTTGGGCAGTGTTTTCTGATCGCCTCCGCTCTCGGGTGATGAAGTATTTCAGTTGGAAATGCAAGCTTTCTACACTGATGATCTTTCAAGGTGCAACAATTTGCAGTGAATTCGTTTATGAATCAGCTTTTCCATGTATGTGTCATCAAAAACCTAGCTGTCATAGACAGAGGGATGCTGTGAACTTACCATCTTTAGAGGTTTAGTATAAGTACTTCCTGAAAGAAGCCAGAGGGTGTAAACTCACACTCCCCTTAGACAGAACCGCCCGGCCCCGAGCCCTGATGCACAGCTGTGCTCTTACCGTCACCAAATCAATGCAGTTACTGCTTCTGCATTGTCAGTGGTGGAAACCAGCTCCCACTTTTATCAACCACAGTAGGGCTGGTTCATTACAGAAAACATTGCAGGTCCCAGTTTATTCTATGCCTTGGAGGAGGTTTAAACCGAAATTCATCATTTGGAAATACCATGAATTGACCGATTTATTTGGAATCCTTGTTTTACGCATTTTTATTGTGCAAGAAGCTGTGCTGGGTGCTGGGACTTTACATTCCTGCCCTCAGGATTTTACAGTCTCACTGAATGAGGGAGACACAGAGATACATTTAAAAGCAGAGCAGGTGCTGTAATGGAGGGAAGGCTGAACTCGAACCAGGTAGGCACGTGGGGTCAAGGGCCTCCCAGGGGCTGGGCGTTGGAAGAGCAACCAGAAGTCGGCAGCTGAAGATGCTCAGATGAGCTCAAAGTGCAGCATGTCAAGAAGTCCCCCTGGTCTACCGCGGGAATAAGGAATAAGCCAAGTGAGCTACTAAACCGTAGCCTTCAAAGACAAAAACAAAACCCAGAAAGCTAGGACACAAAGAAACCTGAATGAACTAATTCAGAAAGGGATGAGCTCATTCTAGGGGCGAGAAGACCACCGCTGCTTTCCCACAGGCAGGAACCGCAGCGGGGAGAGGAAGCAGGTGGCCTAGGGTTTAAGGACTGTTGGCAGCGGAGCCTGGCGCAAGGGTAGAGCCCAGAGGCAGGCTGCACAGAGCACTGAGTGCTGGAGATAGGACACTGGAGGGTGGGAGAGGGGGACAAGGACCGAGAGATGTCCTTCCAAGGAACTCCAGGCCTTTCTGAGCACACCTCAGCCCTCCAAAGGGTTGGGATGAGGCTGCATGGTGGAGAAAGGTCTGTGAATAGCATGCAGAAAGCCAGGAAAAGAAGTCTTCAGCGACTCACAACGGTACTGGGCTGTGAATCAGAGAGAGCTCCCCTGGTTCAGAAAACCGGCAGCTGTCTGCAGAGCATGAAGCAATCCTCAGGGTCGCACTAGGGCTTGGATCTGAGCCCGGCTGAAGAAAGGGCCCCAGTCCTGCCCTCAACATCACTGTAGTCAGTAGTGACTGAATGTGACCGCCTCTGCAACAGAATCCACACCACCTTCAATGACAGATTTCATGGACTCAGCCGCCACATCAGCAGGCTGAGAAAAGAAGGGACCCTCCGCTTTCTAGGGTTAAATGTCATTTACTTCATCCTCCTTTACTCTTAAACAAAATTTCCAGCGTACAGTAACAAAGCGGGAGACACATGAAGGAACAAGAAGATGTCGCTCTTGGTCAAGAGAGTAAAGAGGCGATAGGAGAAGATCCAGGTATGACTCATTCGTTGGGATTATTGGAAAAGGATATCTTAATAATTAGGATAAATACGTTAAAGGATTGAGTGGGCAAGGTGGAAAAGCATAAACGAGCAAGTGGAAAATTGTAGCAGAGAGATGGGAAGGGTGAAAAAGAGCCAAGTGGAAATGCTGCAAGCTAAAGTAATGAGATCAGAAGTAAAGAATTCATTGGAGGAGCTTAATGATAGGCTAGAGAGAGTAGAGGGAAGAGTCAGTGAATTTCAGGTCAGCTCAATTGAAATGATCAAAAGTGAAACAAAAAGGACATATTGTAGGGCTTCCCTGGTGGCGCAGTGGTTAAGAATCTGCCGGCCAACGCAGGGGACGCGGGTTCAAGCTCTGGCCCGGGAAGATCCCACACGCCGCGGAGCAGCTAAGCCCATGTGCCACAACTACTGAGCCTGCGCTCTAGAGCCCTGAGCCACAACTACTGAGCCTGTGCACCACAACTACTGAAACCCGCACACCTAGAGCCCGTGCTCCGCAACAAGAGAAGCCACCGCAATGAGAAGCCCGCACACCGCAACGAAGAGTAGCCCCCACTCGCCGCAGCTATAGAAAGCCTGCACGCAGCAACGAAGACCCAACGCAGTCAAAAATTAAAAAATAAATTTATTTTAAAAAAGATTATATTGTAAAAAAGAGTGCAAAATGGAACAAAACATCCAAGATACATGGTGCAATTTCAAATAACTCTAACTCAAGTATAATTGGAATCCTAGAAGGGAAAGAGAAAGAGAATGAGGCAGAAGAAATATTTAAAGAAATAATGGCTGGGTTTTTCCAAAATTGACAAAACTTATCAAAACATAGATCCAAGAAACTTAGTGAACCTCAAGCAAGATAAATACAAATCTAGGCATATCATAGTCAAATTGGGGGAAAACCAAAGATAAAGAGGAAATCTTAAAGGTATCCTCAGGGGAAAAAGACCCCTTACATCTAGGGGAATGATTATAAGAATGAAGTCTTACTTCTCATTAGGAGACCATAAAACAATGGAAGAACATCTTTAAAGTACTGAAAAGGAAAAAAAGACCAAACAAATCCTGTCAATTTAGACTTTTATATTGTTCAAAACTGTAGGTGAAACAGGAAGAATCTGTGTCTGGAAGACTCATACTCCAGAAATGCTAAAGGAAGTTCTTTAGCTTAAAGAAAAATGATATCATATAGAAGCCAATATCTACAAAGGGGATGAAAAGAACCAGAAATGGTAAATTTGCAAGTAAATATAAAAGATACACACACATAACATATATGAATTTTTGGATAAAAGCTATTGGATATTTGAAGCAAAATAATAAAAATGTATTTGTGGGGTTTTTAGCTTACGTGGAAGAAAACTACATGACAACAGGACCACAAAGAGTAGGTAGGAACACTGGAATTATACTGTTGTAACTTTTTGTTGATTTGTG